TTTAAGTTGTTGCTCTTTTACTGTTGACCTGATCTGGCTGGCTTTAAGGAGAATAACATTCAGTTTCACAAGCTGAATCCATGCCGTCACCTCAGCCACAAGGACAGTCAAGGTCACAGTATGTTTCTCATGTGCTATTATAAATCAAGGCAACTTCATCATACTCTCTACTTTCCAGGTTAACTAAGTAATATGAAAAGGTGATTTTTTTTTCTTTAAACTATAAGTACAATGAACATGGTATATGATTTTGAAAATCATTTACTACATTAACCTTATACAATATATCCTAAGACCATTATTTTAAAGGAATGGATCCTTACAAGACCCAAATAACTCATGTATCATGAAGTTGGTTTAGTTTTTTTTTTTCTTTCAACAAATGTGCACCAAGATGTTCCAGAAGCAAGGCTGATGCCATGAATATGAAAGCTGCTATTTACAAGGTACTACATCTAGAACCTGGTGACACCAATTAGACAGAGCAGATGCCATTCTAATTAGATGATCAGGTGACATCACAACACAGTGGGATGCCTCAAGACTCCCTTAAGTGTCTATTTTCTTGATGATCAGAGGTCCCACGTTGTCACCAGTCTCTTCATTGTGTTTTATGTGAGCACCATTGCAGAAAGGAACTTTTTGGACCTCCTGCGGCATCAGTATATAACCTTATCTACCGGGTCTTCCGTGTTGAAGGCATGCACGACCTTGGGGTTGTCTTTCTGGATGTGAAGGTTCACCATAGCTTTGGTGTGATGATCTTTAACATAGAACTTTTTGTAAGCCAGGTAACCAAGTATAGCTGTCCCCACAGCAAGTGTGGTGACTCTATCCACTCAACTGGCACAGCTGAGGTGGAGCTGAGGCACATATGTGGACAGCAGGAAGGTGTGGCAGAAGTACTCAGATGGGCAATGGGGACTGCGGAGATCCATCTGGGCAAGACATGACCTCAGGGCTCACTTGGTACCACCAATAATTTAAGAGAGGAGTAACAACCATTCAACTCTGTGATGAATATATTAATAACTGACTTGCACACTTAAATGATGACTATTAAAGGGGTGTAAAGCTATTACTTAAATTCAATTGGTGAATACAGAAATAGAGGGTCTGTTATCAGAGAGATCATCAAAAGATACCTAAAGATTATAGTTTACCAATAACTTGTGAAAAATAGTTATCAATAAACAAATAATATCAATGTTAAGCTGAAAACTATCAATACGGTGTTCACATCAAATCCTTTAGGTAACTATGTTCTATTTTAAGCACAATGTCTAAGGAAATTCTAGGGTAAGTCCAAAAGCATATATATAGAATTTTAAAAAGATAAAAATGATGTCATATGATAAATATTTAAAGAAAGTTTCTTATCATAGCACTACATACATGTTAAATCCTACACTAAGGAGGCTGAGGCAGGAGGATAAAGGGTTTAAGGCCATCCAAGACGATACATATAGTGAGATCCTGTCTTAATACAAATAAGAAAAACAAAGCTACATGGGCAGTCAATCTCATCATGGGCTAAATCTAACAGAGTTAAGATTGCCTCCTTAGAAGACCACTTTCCATGAACAGATACAAGCAATACTTGTCTAGAAGACACTAGATGGGTGGGACTCTTAAAAGAAAATTCCTATAGTTCTATCCAGTAGGTTGGAAGGGATACTTGAAAAACTGCATTCTAAAATTCTGACTTCATCTTAATTCAAAAGTACCCAATAAAATTAACTAAATAATGCAAACATCCCCAAAAGTAGATTTAATTTTTTTACCTCATTGTTCTGTAATGGTGGTTTTCCACTTTTCTTACTGCAAAGGAAAAGTAAAAGAGTTTTACTTTATATACTATATGCTTCCATATTAAAAATTCATCTAAGATGTCAAAAAATACATCAAATTCTCCCAATGGTTGTTTTATTCATAATCTAGAAAAGCAAAATTCATTCATAGTTCAGTTGCCTCTTTACAGGTTGGGTGTCTACTGCATGAAATGCTTGGGCCCAGAAGTGTTTCAGATTTCATAGTTTTTCAAAATTTGTCACAAAAACAAAAATGTTACATACTTTTTACCAGATGCAAAAAACCAGGGTGCTCAAAAAATTACATTATTTCAGAAAATTTCAGGGCAGACATGTTTAATCTGTAGTAAGTATTATAATTTTTCCTATAAATCTTCCCACAGAACGGTGACAATTCACCTCTCCATTCTTGAATAAAACTGGGCCACATTAACTGTTTTGGCCAATGGTACTTTAACAAGTTGACACAAAGCTACATGTGCTGAGACTTAAAACACTGGGGGCTGGGGGTGGGGGTGTTCCAGGGAAGATTTATTTTGTTTCAGAGTTTCAGAGGCTTCAGTCCACCATGACAGCAGAGCAGCATGCACTATGAAGATATGAGAGGGCCTGTGACAGTGAACTTCCTTCTACCCCTTTACCCCATCTAAGCTTCCAGTCTGTTGGATGGTGTTTCTTACATTCAGGACAGGTCTGCCCACTTAGTCCATCTCCTCTAGAAATGTCATCCATAGATAGTTCTGGATTCTATGAGTGTTTCTCTACCAGTCACGCTGGCTGAGATTAGCCATCACACTAGAAAAAGCTTTCTACTTTGTGTTCTCTCATGCTGCTCAGAATCTGCACCCCTCAATCACATGAGTAACCAAATCTAAATAGATGTCTCAAGGAAACAGTAGCTCAGGTTCATGATCTGATTACTAGTCCCTGTTTACACCGCATCATTAGCTTGGCTTACAACCTATTGTAACACACTATCCTTGTGCTTCTTCAATGAAACATGAACCACATTTTAAATTCCTGTTTGGTCCGTTTCCTTCCAGTAAAGTATTCTGAAGAGATGAGAAGTTGATGCAGATTGGTTTCCTGAAGTTGAGGGTATAGCATATTTGGAATATGAAATCTGTATCAGTGAACAGAAGGGGAAACCAAGTTTAGGCAGAACTCAAACACACCCAGCAAAATATCAGCCAGTCAGGCAGATATTCTTGGTGGTTTGAATGAGAAATATCCCCTGTAGTTTCGGGCATTTGAGCACTTGGTCCCCAATTGTGGCACTATTTGAAAAGGCAACCTTGCTGGAGGAAGTGTGTCCCTGGGGACAGGCTTTGAGACCGTAAGGCCTCACCTGCTAGCAATCCACTTTCTGTTTCATGCTTGCCGTTCTAAATGTCAGCTCTCAGCACCCTGTTCCTGTGCCACCATACCTGGTGCTTGCTGCCATACGCCCCTCCAGAACTATAGACCCAAATATACTCTTCTGTAGGTCGTCTTGGCCATGTTTTATCACAGCAGTAGAAAACAAACTAAGACATGTTCTCAATAAGTACTGTCAAGAATGCCCTGGCGTGAACTGAAATGTCTTTACACCTCTGCTTTGCTCAGGCTTATCCAAATGTATGCTGCTCTTGTTAAGTCATGACCTGGGGGGAGGGGGGATCTGTGTGCTTGAAGTAGACTCTAAAGTATGGGCAGAGGGGGCTGCCTGGCTTACACACTCCTCAGAGTAGGCAGTGAGTCACTCCTTAAAGAGGAATCTTTGTTGCACATCCCCAAGTCTCTGCAAGGGTCATGTATACTCAGCCTCCCACTGTCAATGCCTCACTGAGCTCAACCACTCGGTAGACTTCATTTTCAGCATTAAGATACACAAGACCAAGCAGAGCTAGAAAGACACATCTAATGACAAGTCAAAGGATGTTCCATTTGTTAGAATGCTTGAGTTCAGGCTGGAGAGATAGGTCAGCAGTTAAGAGCACTGGCTACTCTTGCAGAAGACCCAGGTGTAACTCCAATTCTAAAAGATCTGGTGCCCTCCTCTGACCTCCATGGGCACAAGGCACACTTATATACATGCAAGCAAAACATACACGTAAAATAAAAGTACATAACTTTTTATGAAAACAGCACTTTAGGTTATTATTGTTCTTAATTTAAGGGTATTATAGGATTGTTTAAAACACATTACAAACTATAGAACTGTTTTAAAGTGTCTCTTAGCACAGCAAAGGTAATAATCAACAAGTGACAGCATCAGAATGAGAGAAAATATCTGCAACCATTAATTTAGTAAAGAGTTGGCATTCAAAACATAAATAACTTTTTTTAAAAAGCAAGAAAACACAAAGCAGTGGTGGTGCACATCTTTAAACCCAACATTTGGGAGGCAGAGCCAGATGGATCTCTGTGAGTTCAAGGCCAGCTTGGTCTACAGAGTGAGATCTAGGACAGGCACCAAAACTACACAGAGAAACCCTGTCTTGAAAAAAAGAAAGAAAAAAAAAAAGAGCAATGGACATTACTCATTAGTCACTAATCAAAATGCGTACAAATGGCTAGTGAGCATATCAAGAAATGTTCAAGTCTCTTTATCAACAAAATGCAAATAGACACTATAATGATGGGTGGAGAAAGGGCTCAGCAGTTTAAAGCATGCACTGCTCTTTCAAAGGGCCCAGGTTCATTTCCCAGAGCCCACCTCAAATGGCTTACAACAACCTGTATCTCTACTTTCAGGGAATCTGATGCCCTCTACCCTCCCCATTTACCTGCACAGACATGGTACATATAAACTCACACAGATACACACACATAAGTAAAAATGAATCAATGAATAAATAAATAAATACCTTTTTTAAGGTATTTATTTATTTATTCATTGATTCATTTTACAATGAGATATACCTAATACCTAGTAGGATCGCTATTACCAGAAAAACAAAAGATAACAATGATGGTAAAGGTGTACAGAAAAGGGAACTCTCAGATAGCTAAGAAGAATGTAAATAAAGTCATTAAAGAGAAAACACAGATTCCTTAAAAAAAAAAAAAAATTAAATTAGAATTATTACCATATGATCCAGCAATTCTACTTGTGGGCATTTAACCCCAGAACAAGGAGTCAGGATCCTGAAGTGGTGCCTGTACTCTGGTTTCACTGCCCAACTGGCTCTCCCTCTGCCTGACTCTCATGTCTACCGCCAACAATAAACCCGTCAACCTTAAGCAATAACAATCCATGAGCTAGTTCTTTGGAAAATAAAGCATCGGGTAACCCAATACTAATAGGAAGAATACAGGCCATGTAAGGCTGTGCCTACATTTTAATTCCAAGACCATGGAGACTGCGGCAGGACCAGGAGGCCAGCTAGGGGGACATAGTGCCTCCCTCAAAATTAAGAAAATAAGAGGAATGCAAAAGCACAAGACAAAAGGCAATTAAAAATTTAAAACAGTAAGTCTCTGGATTTCTTATAAAGTAACTTAAAAAATTGGATGAAATGCCTAATTTCCTAGAAAAACATAGTTTTCCAAAATTGATCATCTAATCAAGAGAGAAATAAAGAAAAAAGGAAAAAAAGTGGATTGAAAAGGTGGGAAACAGAAAATTGTCAGAATCGTCTCCTACCCATCCCAAGGACCCAAAAGACTTATAAGGAAACTGCCCAAGAATGGATAATTTCAAAGTTACTGAGCATAAAGCATCAAAAAGTATTGTCTGCTTCGGATAATTTCAAAGTTACTGAGCACAAAGCATCAAAAAGTATTGTCTGCTTCATGGAAGGCATCACTACTAAACCCTAACAAAAACCAAATTGTTCTGACTCCTATCAGGAGTTCTGGTTTTTTGGTTTTAATTTCACACCATGAGAATGTATAGTTTGTAATTAAAACTTTAAACAGTTTTCAGAACAAAGTCCAAATTCTATAGCATGGTACTGAAGCTGCTCAAGATCTGGCTCCAGCCCAGTCAGGCTCATCTGCCACTGAGCACAGACTCTATGTGCTGATGGTACTGCAACATTAGTTATGTTAAACTGTGAAATTACAAGTATTTGACCATCTCCATCTTAACGGTGTTGATTCCATGTGCTCTCACACTGTGTTCTATCTTCACGTTACTACTGCTGACTAAAAGGAGTCCTTTTAGGCAAGAGTCACAATGCATGCCTGTAATCCCAGGCCGAGTGTTCCAGGCCCACCTGGGCTATATAGTGAGAGCCTATTTCACAAAATAAATCAGGCGGGGGAGAAGGCTCGGCTGTTAAGAGAACTTGCTGCTCTCGGGGAGGACCTGGCACCCACATGGCCACTCACAACCCATCTGTAATTTGCCTTTTTGAAATGAAGGTTGGACTGATCCTTCCTTACTCCTACTGTGCTGACAAAATAATTAATTCTACCTCCCTTCAGTCTTAAGCTGTGCCAATCAGGATAACAAACTATCCGGCAACTCTATCTCAGAAGTCTTCTGTGTCTCCTTTTTTCCTCTCCAGCAGAGAATATCAGGCAGGCATCTGCTACACCCATTCACAACCCTTACAGTGCATTTATGGCTCACCAGCATGCGAACGGGGCCCTGTCCTGTTCATCTCCATCTCACTAAGGCCTAACACTATGCCTGGCACATGGTAGATACTTTTGAAACTTCTATTTTGTTTTCTCCTTTAAATTTGGTTTCAGACCAAGACTTTGGGAATCTGCCTAAGGGAAAAAGAGAAAAATCTAAGTGACCAGATATGCACGCAGCTAACTCTGGGTAAACTCCAGGAAAAACGCCAGAGCCAGTGAACAAGTGAGCAGCCTCCTTCAACAAGACATCTGCACGGACAAGGACACCAATTTTTTCATGAGACACACGGGACATGAGTGTTTTTAAAAAGTGCCATTCCAACGTAAAGCTCAACTACAGCCACTGCCACGTCCACTTCCTCCCACCACCTAGCATCTTCCCAAGTAATTAAGCTGTTTTTATCTCACTGTGAAGAAGCATTTTTATAGACTACTTAA